AGTGGCATCATCATAGCTCTCTGCAACCTTAAACTCCTGGGCTCAAGTGATGCTCCTGCCTCAGCCTCCTGAGTAGCTGGGATTACAGGCACACACCACCATGCCTGGCTAATTTTTCTATTTTTAGTAGAGACAGGTTCTTGCTCTTGCTCAGGCTGGTCTTGAACTCCTGATCTCAAGTGATCCTCCTCCCTTGGCCTCCTAGAGTGCTAGGATTACAGGCGTGAGCCACTGTGCCCGGCCCAGATGCCACTTATTCTTTAAGAGAGCATCTGTTTATTGTCAGAAATGGCAGTATAATGTCATGTTCAGAAAGACAGACATTGGGGCCTTCACCGAGGTTCGAATGTCTTTTCTCTCCATCTCTAAGCTTCGATTTCCTTATCTGTAAAATGGTACCAATGCTTCACAAAGCTGGGGGATTAAATATGATAATGCCCTGAAAACAAATATTAATTACTGGTATGTGTATGTGGGCACAGTGCATATGTGTATGTGTGAGCACACACATGTACACATGCATGCATACTGGCAAGAAAGTGTTCATTTGTTACTTCTTTCATTCAACCAGCGTCACCTATGTGCCAGGCACTGTGCTCTGCATGGGAAATGAACACACAAATGAGAACTCCATCCCTGGAGAACCCACAATCTTTGGGCAGACGCAGACAAGCAGACAGACCACCATGGCAATGCAGTAACCGGTGCTTTGCAGAGGTTATGTGGGGGACAGAGGAATGCAGCTAATTCAGCACTGGGCACGTGGGGGCATGCACAGAGGGGTTGTGGAGGGTGCTTCCTGGGGAGGTTGAGGACAGTGTTCAGCCTGGAAATGAACTGAGGGAGGACGGGTGTTCCGGGGAGAAATGGCAGCAAAGAGGAGAGTGCTTGGTGCATTCCAGAGACCATACAGAGCTTGAGAAGGCAGATGGACATGTGGCTGCAGAGGGGACCTGGGACCTGGCCATCAAGTCCTCTCAGGACCAGTGACACTGGAGACAACTTACAATGGAACACGAAACCACGGGTGTGAGATTTAACACACCAGCTGAAGATAATACTGTGCGTTTGTTACAGTCCCCTGAACTCCTTCCTCCCTCCAGGCACAGCCTTTCATGAGCCATTCTGCAAACTCTGAGCATCTACTAGATTGAGGAGGCCACGGCAGGTACAGTGCCCACCCACACACGGCTTACCACGCAGGAAACGGGAGGAGAGGACAGCGCTAGACACAAGAGGATGGACAGGGGGTGTGTCCTGAGAAACGGGTTGTCCACAGAGCAAGATCAGGGAGGTGGGCATCAGAGAAGGGCTTAAAGGGAAAGTTATTGGTGGTACAGCTGAGATGCAAACATGTACCTTGGCTGGGCAGGCTCCCACCTGGGGGAGATGCTGGAGTTTAGCAAACCCATGCATTTATTCTTTTGCTTTGCAAAACAGTTATGTGACAGTCACTACAAGATGAGGACTTGCAGGCTGTTTTGGAACAAGATTCTGGGCTTTCCATCCCGCAACTGGTAAGGGTTGCAAACCCAACTGATGGCCAACTGTCAGAAATAGATCTCTGAAGCCCGCTGTTTTGGGGGAGTGCCCTGAAAAGTGAACCACAGGCCCAAGTTTCTATCACCAAAGCTTGGTTTCCTCATATATTAGAATAAATGGGAACAGTCAGTGACACTGACTTTACGCAGCTGCTGTAAAGATGAAACCAGGCTGGGTGTAGCAGCTCACATATGTAATCCCAGCACTGTCAGAGGCTGGGGCAGGAGGATCGCTTGAGACCAGGAGTTTGAGACCAGCCTGGGCAACATAGCAAGACCCAGTCTCTACAAAAAAATTAAAAAATCAGTGGGGTATGGTGATATGCACTGCTAGTCCCAGCTACTCGGACGGCTGATGCCCAGGCGTTCGAGGTTGCATTTAACTATGATTGTGCCACTGCACACCAGCCTGGGCAACAGAGCAAAACCCTGTCTCTTAAAAAAAAGATTAAACCAGCCAACCGCATGTTAAAAGCTGAGAGGAGTTACATGATGTGGCAAAGGCTGTATGAAGAAGTAGCCGAGCTGGATTTTAACCCTGGTGGACCTGCCTCAAAGCAGGCAGCCCCATGCTGTCCCAGGAGTGTGTGAAGACTGTCTTGGTCCCAGCGGGGAGGGGGCTGGAGAGGCTGCTCTTATGTAATGCCAGCTCTTCTCAGGGGCCTTTACTCTCTGCAGAGCATGGCAGGGGACACAGATTGATGGCCAAAGAAGAAACTCATTTGTAAGCTCAAGCGAAACAAGTCAGAAATTGCAACACATAGGCGTTGAGGAGCAACGCTAATTCCTCTTATATGTGTGACGCTGTTCAGCTTATTTGCACCCATGAATGTGTAGCACGCGGCGTGTGTAGCACACTGCATGTGCAGCCTGGGCTTTCCAGGCTGGAAACCGGATGAAGAGTTTGGGAATGTCAGGTAGTACGGCGTGGTGTTTTTGGTGGGAATGTCCACATGGCAAAAACGTTTGTCTCAGGCAGAGAAATAAAGCACGTGTACCACTGTGGCCCCACTTCACGCACTGGCACGTGTGAAACTGACTGGCATAACAGCTCACCTCACTGTATTCTGGCTCCCGGGGAGCTTCTAGAAACACTGCCTTTCTTTTCCTGCTGGGGCATCCTTTAGGTCCATTAGTGGACCAATGGCCTCTGGGAATTGCTAATTCTACATTAAAAATCATTAACTAGCAGAAGCAAAGCCCATGTGTATACAGATCACAACTTGTGGTCAATATGGCCTAGCAGGTCCCAGACCCAGCTGCCCAACTGTGCACCTGTCAGCTCAGCTGCCGCTGAGCCGGCACCTGCTCACCTTGTCATTGATTTGACCTTGCCTACTGTATGCCTCCACTGGTAGAATACAAGCTCCAGAACATAAGCTGCCTTAGTCACAGCTGCGCCCCAGCGCCTTAGCAGGGTCTCGGTGACTACTCACTGAACGGAACAAATGAGTCAATGAGCGACTGAATCCCAACCCAAGAATTCCGAAGCCATGACAGAGCTCACGACAAGACTCAGCTCAGCTCTGCCTCTGACCCTGACTCACGGCGGGGAGGGGTGGGCTCTTCCCTGCCTGTCTGTTACATTTCTGTAATCACCGTGCTGCTTGTTGTTGCAGTTCTGACCACGCTGGCTGTCTCTGCTGACCTGTGGGCTGGTCTTATACTGGACAGTGAGTTCTTTGACAGCCCAGTTGTATCTTTTTCATCTTTCTATCCCCAGATATAAAAGGTGAGAGATTATTGGCGCAGCTCTTGCAATCAGAGCCCTAGGAAGATAGGGCTACAATCCTGAAACAGGGAGAGACCTGGGAGGGCTGCCGTCACCCAGCCCCAGGGTGTCCTCCGAAAGGCCCACTCTCGTGCCAGCCCAATTTATTCCTGTGGGGCTGGTCACTGGAACACTTTCTGTGGTTGGCTGTGCCATCGGAGTAGCAGCGGGCATCCCCCTCCTGCCTGCCAGGGGGTCCTGCAAGGGAGGCTGTTTCTGGGGCCTCCATTATTCAGCACACACATATGGAGGGGTCCACGCCAAGGCAACCTCAGAGGACACGATCGGGGTAGCCTTCTCAACTACCAACACGTTCTGGAAACTCACAGCGATGAATTTTAAGATCCTCTACGGACACTTCCAGATTACAGCGTTGGTAGAATCCACCCCGGAACACGGGTCAGACATGACATTAGGTTATTAGTCTCTTTTCAGAAATAGCGCTAGCTCTGTCGATTCCTCATGACTCGCAGGTACGATTAACAGTCTTCTGTGGCAGTACCTTCATTCTCACGGCGGCACTGTCAGTGAGGAATTGCGTTATTACGATTTTACACTCGCGGAAACGCGTGGGGAGAAGTTAATGACCGCGGAGCTGGCGGGGAGCGGAACGGCGATCTGAATGCGGGGCAGCCCGAGGTTCCCTCCGTGAATCTCGAGCATCTCCACAGAAGGTGCATCTCACTATACAGAAGCTCAGTGAAGAGACTGTCACTGTTAGGAGATGTCTAAGTCGGGCTCGGGAAGACGGACTGTGCCGCCGCCGCTGAGGGGGGCCCGGCTGAGTGCCCAGGTCCTGCAGAGAGGTGACTGGCTGTCCGCCTTCCCCATCCCAGCTTCCCTGGGAAGTAGAGCTCCTGCCTGCCTACGCCAGCCTGCTCATGGCCAAAGCCCAGCAGGTGTTTCGGGGGACCGAGCAAGGACGTGTGGCTCGCCTGGTAAACGCTGAGCAGCGTCTGTGGCTGCCGGCCAAGGTCAGCTGTCCTGTTGCTTTCCTTGCTTTTAAGGAAAACATGGAAACAGCTCAGGGGTGCGGTGGGGTGAGGTGGGCTTCTCGTTCTCATTCTGCATCATCGTGATGCTCACCATTTGGTCGGAAAAGCTGCATTTTTTTCCTTTTAAAAAAAATGACAGCAAGAGCTTTGCTGCATTCTAAAGTGGGACTGTGTTATTAAGACTGGGTTAATATTTCTTTCTGGAGGAACCCATCTCTCCTCTTTAGTGGAGGCAATGGAAGGACAGAGTGAATCTAAGGAAATGCATTTTGGAGGCGGCTTTTTAAAGAATGCCTGTGTCAGGCAAAGGAAGCCAACTTCGCAAGTCCTTTACTGCTTTAAGGAGCTCCTAAGTGGCCTGAAAGAGTTCAAAAGAGTTCCACGGAATGTTTAGCGTGCTCCCTCCTTTCACAGTCTTCCTTCTACCAGCATTTATACTTATTGTGTACCAGGCCCTATATTAGCCCTTCAATAAATGGAAGCACTTTTTACTTTGTTTTTTACTAACCAGGTCAAGTCATTCACATTTCAAGAGTAAGTTAAGCACTGGGCTGGCTGGTGGTGGCAAATCATGCAAAACAAATATCATTCTGCCTCTGCTTGAGGCCCCCAGCCCTGAGGGCCACCCCTGCCCTCATCGCTCCCATCACAACCCCCCATCATTCTGCCCACAGTGGATGAGGGCGCCTTTACCTCTCAGCTGCTGGAAGCAGGAGGCACTGCTGTCTGGCTCCAGGGGGTGCCTCAGGACCCCGTTGCTGGGCTTGGGTCTCTCGTATTCTCTTTCGGGGAGCATGGCCTGCTCGCTCTCCATGGCGGGGTCTGAGTGCGGGGGCAGGGACTGTGGAAACCCGAACATCAAGAGGGAAGAGAAGAAGAGTAAGGCACCGCAGAGCAGAAAGCCACCCCACCAGGCTCCGATCCAGCGGGGGTCGTCCGGAGTGATGTCCAGGTTACCTGCAAACGGAAAGAGCACAGCTCAGTGGGAGAAGCTGCAGCTGCGCTCCAGGAATTCTGCTGAGGATTTAAGTCACCTGCACAGGGAAGCCAAGTGCTCTAGAAACGGCCGGGCGGGAGAGGACCGGCTGCTGGCTACGAAGCCTATTGTTCCACCATGGCGTTTCTGCTTCCCTCAAAGCTGGAGACCGATCACATTCCCTCCTTAATTTTCTTGTCTACCCTGTGTTTAGATCAGTATAAACAAAAACAGTGAGAAGCCAGACAGTCTCTGAATTGAGGCTGGAACTGACTGACTCGGCAGAGCTGCCAAGGTGTGCTCACGAAAACACAAAGAAATGTTTACTGTCAAGGGTGGATTTTCACCAGGTGTACTTACTCTTCGTCTCCAAAGAAACAGCTCATCTGAGATCCCACTCGACACCCCACTCCCTGTCTTAGATTAGGTTTACAGCATATGAGTGGAGGCACAGAACGGGGGTTAAGAGCATGGCCCCTGGAGCCAGGCTGCTTGGACTGCAATCCTGCTCCCTTCTCTCTGTGTAAGCGCAGGCCAGTGGAGTACGAACTAAGACCAGATGGACGGACGGCTCCAGGAAGAGTAATGGCCACAGACACAAAATGAGCACCTCGCCATTTGTAAAAGTCCATTTATAAGACAGATTTGAACTCTCTATGCCTCAGTTTACTCATCTGTACAATAACAATGATGACTGCATTACTTACCTTACAGGCTCGCCAGGAAGATCAAATGAAGCACGGCAGACAAAGTGCTCAGAATAGTGCCTGGCGTGTACTCGAGCACTCGACTGATGGTACCTTGTTATTTGTGGCTATTTATGGGTCTTCTGGTTTCAAGCTGCTAGTGGAGAGGTTAACTCAAACCCTGTCGGTGGACTGTGGTTTGGCACCAGCCCTCAATTAGAAAGCTTCACAACCAACTCACATGCTTAAAGGTGCTATACGCGTGGTCTGGCTGCCTTGTGCTGTTGTTTCTTTGCATTTGCCAGCCAAAGTCACGAGAACATAAACTACAGCTTACTTTGTGGTAGAGCTTTTACTATCTCTTTACAACTGCCTTGCATAGCAGCACTCCCAGATGAGCTGCTTAGAAACATCTCTTCGATGATAAATCGTGCCCCTGGAGCACGGAAGGAGATTCTTGGAGATCTGGGCCATGGCGTATGAGCTAAGAGCAAAAGGGCTGCAGGCCTAGACCAGATGGATGCACAGCTCTGGGAAGAGTAATGACCACAGACACCAAATGAGCACCTCGCCATTTATAAAATGCTCTCCCCGAAGTCTCCTTGAGGGCTTCCTCTGCACCAGGCATTACGCAGAGCACACTCTTAACTGTGCCGGCCAACCGTCCCCACCACCCTACAAGGTAGGACTTTTATTATCCCCATTTTATATACATTGGGAAACCGAGGCTTAGAAAGGTTAGGTTCCTTGCCTAGGTTCACAGAGTTAAAGATTGGAACACAGGTATTCATGTGCCATGCTCTATACCCCTCTGTTCCGCTTCCCTTGTTGACTGGACTTCGTTTGGGGCTCCCTGTAGGGCCCTGGGTAAATGACTAATTCCTGTGCTTTGTGCAACAGGTCTAAGACCATGGGCTCTTCCAGTAGGTGGCAAGTGGCCTTTGGAACACTGGGGGTCTCCATCCTGGAGAGCTTGACACACACCCAGCAGCAATAACTACAGCACTACTGTGGACCAGAGGCTTCTGCGCAGCTGCATGCTGGAGAGGAGAGAGTGTAAGCTTTGAGGGCTTGAATCTTAGCTCTGTCACTTACTAGCAGGTGACACTGGGCAAGTTACTTACCTTCCCTGGGCCTTAGCCGCATCATTTGCAAAATAAAGATGACATCCACCTACGGTAGTTGCAAGGATGGGTGGTAATAAGCAAGAACCACCTGACACGTAGCAGGCTCTTCACATACAGTAGCACTTACTATTTTCGTTTTTATGTATATTTGTATATGAAGAGGAGTTTTAATATATGGATTTTTAAAAAGGGATACGGCATGGGGAAACAAAGGCGATTCAGAAAGTATCTTTATGCAAACGAAGGAAGAGAAAAGGAAGTGAAATTGCCTGGGTAGCTGAACAGGAATGTTTTCACTCGTCACTTACTGTGTTTCCTCACCTGCTGCCAAGCAATGCATGAAAACAAAAGACAGCAAAAGGGAGCTGAAGAGCTTCCCTCCATTGTCTGTGCGCTCCATAAAGGAGGAATCGAAAAGCTGGCAGATGTGAGTGGGTAAAGAGAGAGAAATCCTAGCAGTTGTTTGGGGGAACAAAATTAGTAGCACGTAGAAAGTCGTGTTTTAGCGAGGAAGTTAGTGACTGCTTGATGTGTGAGGAAACATCCCAGGGACGGGGACGGAGGGTGGGGGGAGGCGGCTGTTCATGTGAACGTGTCACCTCACTCCCTGCAGGCACGGGTGTGTGCGTGGAAAGCTGGTGTCTGCTGGCAATTGGAAGGACAGGGAAGAGCATGTCGTCTGTGTCAGAGCCACAGCTCACCTGTCGTCCGGGCGAGGAGGAGAAGGGCCTGATGAAGGCGGGCGGAGGGCAGGATTTTGTAGATCCAGGAAAATCATCACTGACTATTCTGGGAAGTATTGATTTTTTCCCCTCCATTTCAGTGGTCCAGAGCACTGTGGCGGGGAAGGAAGCAACGTGCTGAGGAGAAAGCACACAGCTATGGGGTGCGCTGCCTCGGGACGGGGAGGCTGGTGCACAGAGGGGAATTCTAGAATGTTCTGGGGAAGACAACTGACCAGCACTCGAACCTAGTCTGAGAAACGCCTTCTCTGAGGTACTTCTTTTCTCTATTCATCTCTATGACTAACATTTTTAAGAGGCAGTTTGGCCAGTGAGGGTGAAAAATCTCCCTCCACTTGTCTGGCAATCGCCAATGCTCGGTACATATTCTTGAGTGACGGTCGTCTACGAGCTGGCAGAGAATGCGTGGGAGACAGTTCCAAAGTCTGCACTTGAACCTCCTCTTCCGAAGACAAGGGAGATTATACCTCCCACGCTCTGTGATGTTAGGTGTGGCCACATGCCACAAGAGTTTTTCCCATAAAATGTGAACAGAGGGGACACGTGTCACTTCTGGATGGAAGTATGTACGCGCTGGTGCGTGACATCCCATGTTCTTTCTTCCTAAGATGGTCTCTGACAGGCTACAATGAAATGTCCCCCACTGACCTGTACTGGATCTAAAGCATGAACAAAAAAGAAACCTTTAGTATTCTAAGCCACTGAGATGTGGGAGCTGTTTGTTACTGCAGCATAACCTGGCCTGCCCTGACTAGTATGCCAGGCTTAGGAAATAAAAATCTGTAAGACAGCGGTCCTGGGAAGGCTTGACATAGCAAAAGTATTGTGTGAGGTACAGGTAGAGGGAAAGGCTTGAAAACCTCTTTACTTGTCTATCTGGTTCTCATCAGTGTCTTGACTTTAAAAAAATTACTGCCATTTCAGCCTTTTCGTGAAGGCTGCTTTCACGAAGATGCCCAGAACAAAACAGAGAAGCTCCCATCTGTCTCATTTACTCAGATGCATCAAGTTGCCAGTGAAACCAGACACATGGATGAAGAAAGACGCTGAGCAGAATGGCATGGAGACAGTGTCCCAGGCTGAGCGGACGGCCTGAGCAAAGGTGTGGCACACTCAGGGGACTCTAGGTAGACAGGCTAAGCTCCCTCTGGCCACGTGTCCACCCTGCGGTCACTCCGGGCACTGAGAAAAGATGCTGTTTCACTCTCGGGGGAGTCTGTGGGGTGTGGGAGTGGAGAACCACGAGGGCAGGAAGAGCCCCACGCACGGAGCAGCGCGAGGGAAACGTCTGCCTGTCGTGAGGCTGGGCAAGTGCACCCCAAGCTCACCTTTGCACAGGCGTCAACGGGCACGGAAGGTTTTCTCCTCCACTAGAGCCATTTTTCTAACCTTCCACTCCTGGCATGTGACTCTGGCTTGCTCTCGTTTGTGCTGGGTAAGCTGAGCGAGCTGCCGACAGCTGTTTGCTCTATGCCCACAGTCGAGGCAACATACGGGCTCACTGAAGTTTCCATCCATATCGCTGGGAAGAGGGTTAAAGCAGTCTGAACTCCCCGCCCCCACCCCACCAGGGAAGATACCTGAGACTGTGAGAAGAGCAGGTCAAAGCAAACTGGGGACATTTACTTCTCACTCCTGGGCCATGCTGATGTGTATGAGCTACTATGGCTATTTGGACTTTTTTCTTTCCAAGTTCATTTACTTATTTAACCTAGTTTGGCAAACTTTTGCTGTGGGACTCAAGAATTCCAAGGGAATCACGAAGTTACACACCTGATTAGAAACTGGAGGCCGGGAGGGGCTGAGGGCGGAGGGTGGCATCAGAACGTGCAGCATCCCAGCCGCTGGGCTAATGAGAACAAAACGAAGGCATCCAGCAGCAGCAGCCAGCACTCAGAACGGCAGAGCAGGAGGCTCAGCCTGGCGACCTTTTCTGTCAAGCAAACAGATGGCCGTATCTTGTTCCAGCTGCAAACACCATGCAGCCGTCTACGAGGCCGGCTGGTATGTGCTTCAGGACAAGAAAGCGTGGACATGCTGGTGAGGTTAGGTCATATCAGCAAGGCCTTTGTCCAGGGAAGGGGGGCCTTCTGGCTAAATTCTTGGAGAGGTTTCAGGGAAGCAAGTTGCTCTGTCAAGAGAGGGACTTTGAGGTCAGAGGGGCCTGGGGACAAATCCTTGCTCTGTCCCTTACTAGCTGTGGAAACTGCTAACCTCTCAGGTTCACCATACCTGCATTTTATGCCAGGCACTGTGCTCGATGCTTCGTAAGACCGACTCATGCCAGCCACACACGCACCCCTGAGGTGTCGTGTCCTCAGGATCGTAGGACTCGGGGTGTGGTCAGGATTCGAGCGGAGGTCTCATTTCAATGCTCCAACTCTTAACCACTGTGTGATGACACCTCATCTAACAGGATCTACACCTCCATGGGAACGTTCTGAGCTTCCAATGAGGCAATCTATGCGCAGCTTTAATAAGTGGCCCACTCATGGCTGTCATCTTACTAACCTTCTTCTAATAAGCCCACAATGTTAAGCCTGGTCACTTCAATGATTAGGGGCCCGCTCTGCCAACAAGTCGTCCTTTTCTCAAGGTCCTGTCCTTCTCTGGATTTCAATTTCACAAAGACATTGTAAAGAAGAAATTCTGGAGGCACCATCCTATCTTCCTCCAGCTCCCAGGGACAAATGCAGACGGAAGGCAGTAGCTGCAGAATCCCCGTGTCTAAGCACAGCTGGCCGAGCGCCCTGGCAAGCTCCCTCTGGAGTGTCTCCCCGTAGCCGGCCCGTTCCTATAACCAACCCTCCCCGCACCCCGGCTGCATCTGCCCACAGGCCTCAGCCAGGCTTCCTCATGGACTCTCCCTTCAGCGCTGCCAGGCTGCCAGGGGACATCACATCCTCTCTTCCACATGCCCTGCAACGAGGGCCCTCCATGGACCTGCCTTGAGGCCACTGCTTTTCCTGGAACCCCCGATCTCAGCTGGGATTTCAGAAACAGTGGTTGTGTGCGTGGCCCCTGTACATTCACGCCTAAGGAAATGTTCCCACACCTCAGCCCTCAAGAAGTGCTCTGTTTTAGCTAAGTGAGGAAAAGATAGGAGGGGCTTAAAGAATTGAGAGCCCCCTCTCCCTCAAATACAGCCCAAATCCACTTACAGATGACAAGTTTCAGTCACAGATTAGAAACAATAAAAATTGCCAGAAACTATAGAATTCTGTGGCTGACTCCCGAGTAGAATAAATGATATTCTTCTGCCCTCTACTGGTGAAGAGCCGTGCCAACCCTCACAGTGCCTCCGGGAAGGATGCGGACAAAGACCCTGACTCGCGATAGTGCATCCTACCCTTCCTCAGAAACAGCTGGGGACACCCGCCATCCACCTGTCAGCGGAGCAGGCTGCCATCAGCACGATGCCCAGGCAGAATGGAAAAGCGCCCATCTGTCTTACACACATGGGGGCATCAGGTTGCCAACGAACCTGGAACCATGGGTGGTGTTGCTTCACGCTGGGCCTTGACGGGTGAACAAAGATGTTGACCAGAGTGGGATGGGAACAGCATTCTAGCCCGAAGGAACAGCCTCAGCAAACTGAGAACACTGGGAGTGGACAGACTAAGCCCCCTCCAGCCTCTTGTCGACCCCTGGTCATTGCAGGCACTGAGAAAAGATGCTGTTTCATTCTCAGGAGGAGTCTGGTGAGAGGAATCTTGGGTGGAAACACCTGCATGCTGGCCCAGGAGCTCCAGGTTTCATACAGATACACCCCTTGGACTGGGTACATCCCTGCCCCCTCTAACACTCTCCTTCCTCCTTTGTAAAATGAAAGAGTTGGGAGATAATGACGTCTGAGGTTCTTTTTGGCTTAGAGATTCTGGTCCTTCACAGGCCTGGGTTCAAGGCCACCACTGATATACTGACAACAAAATATGCTGCCCGGCCACTTTGCTACTCCTCAAGGTAGCTGTCCCGCTGCACCAGGAGTACTCCCTTTGCATTGCCTCTGCTAGCTCTCTTATGCTGCCTTCAGTGCCACGGTGGAGGCTTGCTTTTCCGTCTACACAGCAAGATGCAGGGTTGTTTCTCTTCCCGGCCCACCCCTCACCCCGCTCGCTAGGAACAGGGTTCAAAGGGACAGCCGACTGCTGGAACACAGCAGCCACTCGATTACCTCCCGGACAGATCCAGCACTCTAAAAGAATAAATAAACGTGGCTGCATCTGATCTCTTGTTCCCCACTTGGAAATTTGTAACATCATTAGCTACAAGTAAATATATCAGTGGGATTAATGGAGTGAATCACAGAGCGACTTGATTGGATTTAAAACCACGTTATTTCTTTGGGGTGAATTAGTTAATTTAGCACTGTCGAGGGATGATGGATTGAGAATCCGGGGACCGAGAGTTCTTATCGATCCTGAGAATAGATTGGCACGAGGAGGAGAAGCTGAAATGGCTTCTCACCCTGTTTTCCTAGAGAAAGGAAACGTGGCTTCGATACTTGTTCAACTGTACGGAAACACAGTGTTCTCTTGCAGGCACGGGGTAGAGTTGGGACCACGTATGGTAGGCAGCATCTCAGAGGGTCCCCAAAGATCCCCACCCCCTGGTATTCACATCGCTGTGTAATAATTCCTTCTCCTTCAGAGTAGACTTGCACAAGGGCCTGGCATCTAACACACAGAACGCAGAAGTAACGAGATGTCACTTCTGAGATTAGGTTACAAAAAGGCTGTGGCTCCTGTCTCAGGTGCTGTCTCTCACCTTCTCTTGGGTTGCTTGCTCCAGGGCGGCCATGCTGAGGCAGCGCTGGAGAGAGGGCCACGGGAGTGGGCAGGGAAGCACATCCTCTCCCTGCCAAGCCTCGAGAGGACCTCAGACCAGGCTCGTACCTTGCAATACCCTGACCGCAGCCTCCCATGAGACCCTCAGCCAGAACCGCCTAGTTAAGCTCTCCTGTATTCCAGACCCACAGAAACAATTGTCAGATGATAAATGTCTGTTGTTTTAGGTCATTATTTAGGGTCATTTGTTACACCATAGAAAACTAATACACCACATGACTCACTTTGCCCCATGAAACACGAGAGGAAACTGTGTGTGTCATTTCTGAGCAGAAGCTCCATGGGCCAGTGTGGGACTTGCCGCAGAGTGGTTTCCTGCCTAGGCCACCGTGCAAGCTGGGGTCGGGATGGAGCTCTGTGAGGCTGGGCCCCAGGTGGCCATGATGAACCAAGGCTGCTCCGGCCCCACTAACCTACACTGGACATGCAGTGTGACCGAGAAATGAGCTCTGGTTGCACAAAATCACGTGGATCTGGGGGTGCAGTCATCACAGCATAACCTAGCCCACCCTACTAGCATGCTGCTCAACCCCAGAATCATGGACTGGGGGGCCCAGAGCATTCTGAGAAAAACATTTGCTTTTCCCACTAAAAACACGAGTTTTGCATAAAATGGTTTTGAATGTGGATACTTCCTCACAAAGCCACCACAACAGTGTCTTATAAAAGGATTTTCAAATATTCTGTCTCACTGATCCCATTCGCACACTTGCACTTCCAGAACACGTGCTCCAACTTTCAGTTTAGAAAGCAGGGTCCTCGTGTAGGTAAATGGGTCAACACTCAATGAGTATGCACCAGCGGCATTTCCACACATACGCTCTCACAAAATTCCTAAAATAGCGCTTAGAGGCGGATATAATTATTGTTACTACCCTCAATTTACAGATGAGTAAAATAAAGATTTCAGGAGTAAAATCAACTATTGGGGATTATCCGGCCTCTAGGTAGAAGTTGGTAGAACTCACACTTGAGTCTAAACCAGTACCCCTGGCTCTTTCCATCTGATCTCAGCGAGGCCCCAGCTACTGAGGCAGATGCATTAAGGCAGCTCTTGGTAAGAAGGTTTCAGAACCTGCAGGCTGAAGCCTCCTCTTTATGAGGCAGGAAAGGCTTACAGACAACAGTCAGAAATCGAGAAATGTTCCTTACTTGTGTCAATGAAGACCGCATCCACGTAGATTTTGGTACAGAAAGAGCCCAGGATAAACCCGCAGGCTGGTCCAAATACCAGCATCGTGAACAGGATTCCTGAAAGAAGAAGATGAAAGATTTGATTACAAAACAGAGACCATTCAATGAGCAAAATCAGCAAAGGTCAAGGAGATTATTTTACATTGATCGGACGAGATGTCTGATTATACAAATGACATTACAGGAATTAGTCTAAAACTCCTAAAGGTGAAAGCTAGTATTTCTAATTTTGGGGAACTGTATTGAAGCACTGCATATCATGGTAGAATTCTTTAGAATTTTGGCAGATTGTTTTGAAATATCTGTGGGCCCTAGTGCACTTACTTTTAGAGGACTTTCCCCCATGTCAATTGAACATGTGAAAATACATCCACATCTATCATTAAATATTTTTCTGCCATCAACAGTTTTGAAAGGATTTTTATAATTTTGCTTGCATATTTATTTGGCTTTATGTAACTCATTTAATCTAGGTTGGCTAAGATTTGCCAGCACTCATTGTGAAAACTCAGGAATTCTTGTGAAGTGACAAGAATCTAAGCCACAGTTTTTTTTCCAAATGTCATGAAATGCTTATAAGCCCCTAAATTTAGCAAATCACCAAGTTCACACAATGGTATGCTTTGAGAACATTTAATTTGATACTTACTAATTCCGATTTTGCAATTCCCCCCGCCCCCCCATATTTTGAAGTCATTATGTTGTTGTGTTGTTGTTGCCGTAACAGCTGTTCGGGATGTAAGTTTTTTTGTAGGACTTGAGAAGATGACAGGCCCTGGGTGGTGCTTTCAGTATCTGGTGGATATAGTACCTGGATTTTTGCACAGACTTTTTAGATCATTCTGGGAAAAGCACTGAGCCCAAACTAAAACCCACAGGTTCTATCTATTTAATTAAATTTCATTTTGGTAGACATTTCCTGAGCATTGACAGTTCCTTAAGCCCTGGGGATAAAAATAAGAGTAAAGAAGTAGCCTTTTCTTTATGAAGCTGGCCATCTGATGGGGAAAATCAATACATGGGTAATTCCAACCCAAACAGACAGCTCGAAGGGTGGGTGCGAACAGGGCCATACGGGCACCTAAAGAACAGGGCAAGCTCAGCGCAGGGCACCTCTCCAGCCCGGTCTGTTTGCAGGGGTAGGTCAACTCAGCCCGAATTTTCTCAGTGATGTCATCGTGGAACGAATCCAATATTCACCCACTCAATCGACATTTACTGAGCTCCTTCCCTGAGTCAAGCACTATCTGTAGGGTTGGGGATCCAGCATTGAACCAGTCAAAAATCCCGGCCTTCGTAAAGCTCGGAGAGGGGAAAAACAACCTCAGAAACTGTAGACAGGAACTCAAATGGTTGCTAAATACTGGACAAAGGAAGCCATGTCTTCCCAACTTACAGACAGGAACCCGAACGCCAGGGCAAGCCCCTGAAGGAGGCTTATAGAAATGTTCGATGAAGAAAAGAATGAGAAAAGATGTTTTATATTACAGGAACATGGCTGAATCCAGCCTCAGCATAATCCTACTCCATGATTTGAAACCTGGAAGTTCAGCTGTCTCAAAATAGTCACTCCATAGCCAGCCAGAGACCCTTATTCCCATTAATAAGAGGAATCTTTAAAGATGAAAATGTGCCACTTTGGAGAGCAGCAAGCAGCAATGTCCATGTTATTAGCACATTCCCTCCAGTTTGTCATAACTGAGATTAAGATAACCAGAGAAAATTGGGAGGCGGCTATTGGAAAAGTCTGAAACACAAGGATCTTTCAGGTGTGGGCTAGAATTTGGGGGGCTGGCCCTAGTGGAGTTAGGGAGCAGAACTCGTCTTGGCCCCTTTCTTCGGGGGAGGGAAGAGCAGTTGGAAGAGACAGCAGCGGGGGGCGGCGGGTGGGGGCATGTAAAGCAGCTGTCCCAGGCAGGAGCAGAGCCCAGCCCAGACTGAAGGGATTTCTGCCTTAGGGCGAAGTCTTGAAGCCAGCCACGTCCTCCCGTCCAGGCTGCAGGCTGCGGTGGGTGAGCCACCGGTCAGAGTTACGGGCACTCTAAGACAGCCCAGCAAGCAAACTAGCTGCTCAGGCCTTTCCAAAAGAAAGGGACACAGGGCCCAGGAAGACAGCTGTCCTGCTGAGGGTACTGCACATACTCTTGTCACTCAAAATCAAAGTTCTCAGATCTGACCCTTGGCAGCCCCACCCCCACCACCCATCATAACACATCCTCCTTTCATTAAAATGAAATAAATCCTCCAAACAACATGATCATCACTGAGCCATGCCCTAAAGACCAAATGATGAAAATTACCATTAATACTTAATCAGTGGGAAAAAAAGAAACAGCCAAGAGCTGCTGGTGAAGAGATGGTGCCATTACCCTACCCTTGGGGACGGTGGAGATGAGAGCAGGACGGCCCAGACACCACGGAACAGCTGGGGCTCCCCAGGCCCTGGGCCTCCCGTCCTCGTGCAGAGAAGGAAGGGCGTCCCTCAAGCTGCTGACCTCGGCCGTCCACGGGAGCCCCAGAGGGTTCAGACTGGTCAGTGGTCTGGGCTGGTGGCTCAGACAGGGGACAGCAGTGACCTGCTGTGGGGACACCATGCCCCAAGGCAGCCTCTCCACCCAGCCGAGGGCACTTCCCACTCCAGATCTTCTAAGGCAGGGTGTGGGTTTGCGCCCCATCTGGGCTGTGGCTTTCCATTTTAGCAGGTTGGAAGCTCTCCTCCAACACCAGAGAAACCCAACAGGACCCGACTCCAAAAACCAAAGAAAGATGCCAGGCGCGTGTACTTCTGTGTGAAGGGCATCTCCCCCCTCAGATGAAATCTCTAGGGGCATTTCCTAAGTCACTGCCCCTCAGAGCGATGTCCAGGCAAACCCCCAGCAGCAGTGTGTTCTCGAGCACTTTTCACAGGTGGGGACGTGGGAGGGACCTTCACGCGTCAAAAAGTGTCCTTTCACCGCAGAAATACCGCAGTGCAGTGACTCGAATGAAGTGGCCTCAGAGGGCACAGCCCGGGGTCTTCGGGAAAAGTTGGTCTCCTGAGCATGTGCGCGGCAGGCTACACTCACAGAAAGGTTACTGCTGGACTTGCTTCCTTGGCTGTTGCTTGAATCCACCCCGCCAGGCTGTGGTTTCGTTCTTACTTGTTTACAAAGCCGCCCCCAATGTTCTGCCTCGACGGGAGAGAAACAGATTGTCAGGCACTAAATTCCAGGGTGTGCGGCACGGAGGGCCAGCGCCTCCAGGCGCAGGAGAGATGCTCGCTGGCCCAGTGCTGAGCCCTGCTGTCCCGGGATCCGTGTGAGCGGTGAGGAGGGGAGAGCCCGGGACAGGGAGCGGAGAGGCTGAAGGCACCTTGTGCGCCGCCACCCCATGTGACAGGAAGCGTTTCACATGCTTAACCTCCTGGAATCCTTTCAATGACCTGACAGGGAAACCCGCTGGGCCCATTTCATAGCTGAAGAAATGAAATCTGGGAGGTTTAGGGGCGGGCCCAGAATGCAGCAAGATGGCAGCATGGTGCGAGGGATCCGAAGCCAGGTTTCTCCAGCCCCCTAAGGGGAAAGCCTAGGTAAGAGCATGAATGCCTGGGTTCAAATCTCAGCTCTACCACTTCCCAGCTCTGTGAACCCTGGACAAGGTATATTTTACCTCCTCACGTCTCAGTTTCCTCATTTGCAAAATGGAGGTAATAATAGTCTGATGTCACAAGGTTGTGGCGAGGATTTAATGACCTCATGTTTGCAAACCTCTTAGAACAGTGTCTGGCACACAGAAGCAGCCAGGGGAGCGTTTGTGTGGGGTTCGATACCCAATCTCTCCTACTATGATGAAAGCCAGGGTGCACCTCGGTTCTTGGTCTCTCCCTTTCCAAAGCTCACGTCACCCTCCGTACCTAATTCCAAGATCCACCCTCAGCGGGAGTGGGGCTGGGCCAGGCCCAGGGGAGGGTTCTTGCCGGGAAGCCGCTGCAATCCAGAGCCTCGGCAGGGGCCAGACGGACCGCTCGCCAGGCCAAGCACGTTGCACGCTGGATGTGAAGCTGGCTTCCCAGGGACAAGATGACCGGACAAAGGGAGCAGGGGCCTTGTGTGGGAATGGGATGACCCCTGTGGTGACCTGGCATCCTGGTCTGTGCACAGGCCTTCTGTAAAGTGCATTAGCACAAATCTTCAGTTCCCAAACTGTGTGCCCAGGCGCACAGGGGAATTAGGGCTGCAGATGGAATTAAGGTTGCTAATCAGCTGACCTTAAAATAAAAAAATTACACTGGATTGTCCCCATGGGCCCAATGTCATCACAGGGTCCTTTAAATGTGGAAGAGGGAAGCAGAGGAGTCAGAGAAGGAGCTGTGACGCCAGAACCAGGGAGGGGGCATCGTGAGAAAGACGCGACTAGTCGTGCTGGCTCTGAAGACAGTGGGCAGCCTCTGGAAGCTGGAAAAGGCAAAAAATGTATTTTCTCCCCCAGAAGGGACCGCAGCCCTGCCAGCACCTTGATTTTAGCCCAGGGAGACCATTATGGACTTCTGACCTCCAGAAACATAAGAAAACCAATTTGTCTTGTTTGATGTCACTAAATGTGTGGTACTTTATTATAGCAGTGATAGGAAACTACTACAGCTGGTGAGCAAATCTGAGGAAGGGCTGCGTGAAATTCCAAGGCCTCTCAGATCTTTTAACTGCTCTTATGCATTAAAAGGATGTTGCATGAAGTGTTTGTGTTAATTATCTGACCACAGAACCTTTTTTTGTGGGTCGTTTGTCAGACCTGGTGTTGCACAGTCTGAGACACTGGAGTAGACGCCACGTCCCCCGAGGCAGAGACGGTGCCTCATTCTTCTTTATGTTCCTAGTCGGGCCGGTGTTGATGCACCACGAGCTCATGTTTGTGCAAGGACCTGTGACAGAGAGCAGTCGCATGCGGCCTGCGCAAGCTCGCCCGGCCAGGGAGGGCAGAGCTGGGACTCGGACTGCGACCTGCAACCCCCTGCCCAGTGCTCTTTCCCGAGCCCCTCTGCACGTGCTGCTCTCAGCGCTGGGGACCCTCCATTCAACATG